TAGGATGGCGGCCGAGGGATTTCCCCAGACCTCGCAGTCACACTCAATGCTTTTCCAGGTTATAGGATAGGCTCAGAGGAATACCTCGGGTTTTTCCGAGGCGGAGTCTACGGTCTGGATCATTCCTATTCGGTCGGCTTCGTGCACCTTTGAGGTCGAGGGCTGCGACTCCTCGTTTGTGGGTAGGTCCCGTAGGACCGGCTTTTTGCCCTTTCGACTTTCCTCGAATCGGCGCCTGTTTTTTAGGCATCGTTCGATTAATTTTTCGTTAGCTGCTTCGGAAATGGTTAGCAGATAGGGAATAGGGACGGGGATCCGAAGATCCAGAGCCTTCAAGGCATCCAATACGTCGAGATGGCCATCCTTGTATTCAGGACCAGGCGCCGCAAGGTCTTCGAACCCTGGTCTCCACGGCCCGAGGTCGCTTTCCTCGGTAATTCGTTGGACGTGACGTATCACTTCGATGGTCCCGGGTTCGAACATCGCCGCGGCCATGTATTCGGGCCCTATCTCGGTGGCCGCAGGGGTCACCATTTCGGTCGCCCCGGTATCCATCATCGTGGCCACCCTCCCCTGTCCTGCAGCGGTTGGAGCAACCAATGGGATTTGGGAAGGCCCAGCGGGCCCACCCTGAGCTCGAGGTTTCGGGCAATCTTTCGCAAGGTGACCTGGCTGATTACAGTTATAGCATCGTAGGGGCGGGACAGCCCCGGCCACGGCCGGTCTTATCATAGGGGCCCCGGCCGCCATAGCTGCTTGTTGCCGTTGGGCGGTGGCTAGGCGTTGCCGCTGCAGGCCCTGTACAAACACCGTCAGCGGGGCAATTACCGTAACTAATTGGGCCGCGACCTCTTTCATAGACACTTCTTCCTCACCCCGGCCTCCTTGTGCTTGACTAGGGCGACGAGAGGTCGAAGCAAAGGAAGAAGCTTTCCGATCCACGCCTTTTTTTGCCGGACCCAGCCCGGGGCGATCTTCGAAAAATCTATTGCGCCGAACACCCGAAGGGTCATCTTCATCGGATTCTGAGTCCAGGCCCACATCGTAATTTTCTTTTTCGTACTTAATTGCGTACTGAATTAGCTCCGTCAGGGTATGTTCTATAGGGTTGCATTGCTTGCAGATCTTTTTCCGCAGACGAGAATCTGACGATCCTCTGGCGAAATCAGTCCGTGCCATTTTCTCGTCCACCCCGGAGCGTTCGGCCAAGTACGTAAAACGTTCAGCATATCTAGCCAAGGTCTCCCGAGGCTGCTGCGTGTATTCCTTTATTAAACGGAGGCATTGACCTGGTGCGATGTGATCAAATCTATCGAGAAATTTCCTCTGAAAGGCTGCCCAATTGGTGAAGGGGTTATGTCCATACCACTCAAAAGCGGTTCCGGCTAACCTTCCGGGAATTCGTTCTCGGAGCAACTGGTCCGACCAGCCCTGGGCTTTCAAAGCAGCTAGCCAGGTGCGAGGGTCGGTGTCATCTTCGGAGAAAATGGGAACTTCGGAAGGAGGCGGGACAAAGTACAGGGGATGATTGGGCATCCCCGCGTGGTTATCACCGTCGTTTTCACCCCCAATTCCAGGTTCCACCATCGCGGGAGGCGGGTTTCGAGCCCGGCCTCTCGCTCGGTTTTGATTGCTATTCGCGGGTCGCCGTCGACGGGGAGCCAGCCTACTCAAAAATGTGAAAAATCTAATGAAAAGATCAAAAAGAAAAACTTTAAAACAGGGTAATCGTCCTAGGAAAACCTCGGAGCCGAAACGAATCAGCTCTGATACAAACATCACGCCCCGATACAAACCTCACGCCCCCTCGCAGCTTCCTGTACGGGGTCGCCGATCAGAGTTCTAGGAGGGGCGTGGCCGAGGATTTTTTGCCGTAAGGGTTGAGTCTCCCGGACGGAACGGGAGGCCCTCGTTTCGTGCCAGAGGTTTTCCCCAGGAAGGGACTCGAACTGTCGCCGCGGAGTCCCGTGGGGGTAGGATCACTCCGAAACGATAAAATCAAAAAGGTTTCCGCGAAAATTAACTGCCGTCATGCATCGGGACGGAAAAAGGCATCAAGGGGAGAGGGCCATGGCGACAGAAGACAAAACTTCGGCCGTCAGGGGTTTGGGGGATAGGTGGTGGGTTCGAAGCCTTCAGGCCTCATCATCGGCCTCACAAAGTGGCCGAACCCTCGGGTCTTTGCTGTGGAGCTGGTTGGTTCGAGGCCTTCAAGCCTCGGCGTCGGACTCACAGAGTCCGCGCGAAAGTTTCCGGGAGGCTAAAGCGGCGGGAGGACTCGCCGGCATCTGAATTCGAAATTGCGCGGGCAGCGCCCCCCCACTACGGGAAAGCTCGGAAAAACGTGTCGCTCCCTCGTAACCCAGGACCAGCCGTCGCCAAGAACACGAGTCCCCCTGGCGACACCAGCGACAATCAAACTGCGGCTGCCACGCGGGGTGAGCGGCCGACCAGGGCAACACCGTCAAACCCGTATAAGGCAATATTAAAGTCAGGGAATCAAAACGATCAATCAAAACAAACCTGTTCCCCCTTATCTCACAAGCCCGAGGCAGGTCTTGCCAACACACTTGCTCCGTCCGCCTCAGCGCGCGCCGTACGTCCGCATCACAATAGACGCTGTCGTCATCTTCGATGGGGAAGGTCGGTAGCGAGATGAGACGATCGGAGGTACGTGATGAACCCGGGCAAGGTCCCGCGTTCCCGGTCATCCGAACCAACACCGAATCCATACAACAATCGTCGCAACTCTTCTCTCTCTAAGGTGGGTGCGTCGAGGGAAGACGACGAAGTCTAAGCTCTCTCCCCTTGCGGGGGCGTCGACCGTCCGCGTGGACGCAAGCGGTTGACGTCACCGGTACGGGGGCGAGAAGCTCAAAAGGCAATGACTATCAGTTCCAAAAAGGAAAGCAATCGAGAGAGAGAGAGAGAGAGAGAGAGAGAGAGAGAGAGAGAGAGAGAGAGAGAGAGAGAGAGAGAGAGAG